TCCACCATGGTGTCCTGCTGCTGGGCTCTCCCTATGCCAGCGCTCTGGGACAGGGCACCACGAGACAGCTCAGACCCAGCCGCATTCGGCAGAAAACTCGCGCACCCAGCAGTCAGCCCTGTACCAGGTGTCCCAGGCTCATCCTCTGTCTCAGAAAATGTCAGAGACGTAAGGAAGTACCATAACAGAGCACAGGAGCCCACAGGCAGGCTTTGCGTCCCATCCCCCGCTTGAATGACGGGCGCGTGTTCCGTCTGCACCCACCGTGTGCTGCCTTCTTGTGTGCCCCGGGGACATAGCCAGCAGCGTGTCCCTTCTCTGCACGTGGCCAGCAGCAGGTGTGGACGCGCTCCCGCAGGGCTCACGCCTCCAGCCTCAGCGCGATGGCAGACGCGCTGGTGTCTCGGCCGTGGCTGAGGCCGCACACGGGCACCACTTCCTTGTCCAGCTCTTTCCTCACGGTGGGAGACGCTGTTGGCCCGCAGGGTTTCACGTGGCTGGGTCTGCTGATGGCATCCCCCCTGCTGTCATTCGATGGGCTCTCGTCCCTCCGTTTGCTGTGAATTGGAGGTTGGCCGGGTCAGATGCACCTTCGGGTTTTAAAACTTAGTTTCTCCTATGGTTTTCGTAGCTGATAGTGCGTTTTTCCGTAGCCGGCGGGTTCTTAAAATTAAGTCCTGTGACGACATGAAGTACTTGGCTCGTTCCAGGGTCTGTAAAGCGGGACATATTCAGGGAACCGAGAGCGGCTGCTGTCCCTGCCCCTGCTCACCTCCCGCCTTACAGGGCTGCTTCTTTTTGACGGCTTGGCCTGGTTAAAGGACGTGTGAGTGGTCCGCACAGGCACACGTCCTCTCTCACCCTTTATTTTAGAATTTCGGTGCCCTTGCGTCTGTGCTCCGCTGGCTCCCATGGCACTGACGCTGCCCTGGGACACTCGCCCCCTCCTCTGGCTGCTGTGTGTTGCTCCGGCTCTGAACGTCGCAGCCCCTGGCCCCTCTTCCTGCCATGCCCTCCTGTCCCCGACGTCCGGAGGGGAGCGGCAGCCTGGCTCGTGGCTCCCAGCTGTGAGGCAGTCGGCAGGCCTCTCCTTCCCCTCTGCTTTCTCAGCGTCCAGTCCTCCGTGCCGGCTGGCGTGTGGCCACACCCTTTTCCTGTCTCACGGTTTCTGGGGTCAGGAGTTGTGGGCACAGCAGAACGTCTCGTGGCTCAGGGTCTCACCAGGCTGCGTTCCCGTGTGGGGCCGGGCTGGGGAGGGATGGTCCGAGCTCACCCAGTGGCTGGCAGAATTCCTCTCTCTGTCATGCCGGGACCGCAGTCCCCGCTTTCCTGCTGGCGCCAACCAGGGCTGCGTCCGGTCCTGGAGGCCCCCACGGCCCCGTGCCCCGTGGCCTGCGCGTGGGCGCGCACTCCCGTGACAGCACTCCAGCTGCCGGGGCGGTCCAGGGCCGTGGCTGCTCCTGGTTCCGGCTCTGGCCAGAGCTCAGCTCACTTGTCCCTCGACTGCCTGGTCGACACTGTGTGCCCTGCTTCGTTTCAGGCGTGGAAAGCTCACCTCATGGGCCCAGCGGGCTGCACCATGAACCTGCGTAAGACCCACGTGCTGCACAGGGCACCCGCTCTGCCGCCAGGTGAGGCCCGCGCCCTCCTGCACGCCAGGACCCGCGTGGCAGGGTCCCCTCCCCCGATGGCACTCAGTCCTTGTGTTCTGGCTCCGGCTCTTGCCCAGGAGGCTACTTGTGTGACCAGAACTCTTGCCGTGGGTCCTGCCCTTCCCGGAGGCTCCCCAAGGGCGTCCTCGAGGGGACAGACGCAGCCCCGAGTGCTCTCGGGGTGCAGAGCCTGGTTCTCAGCATCTTTGCCCATCACCGGACCAGAGTATCCAGAAACGCACCGTGAAATAGTAGATGCACAGATGAAGCCCCCGCCTGTTTCATGAATCGTGACTTTCTCTATCTTATGTCCGATTGAGAATGCCTTTCCGGAAAATACATGTTTCATTAGAAAACTAGTCCCGGCCGAAACACTGCTGGAGGCACAGGTTTACGCTAGGGTACCTTAGTGTAAAAGCAAGAGCGTCACCGACACGAGTGTGATGAGACGTGGGTCCTGGGCTCTGTCCGCGCTGCGTGCCGGTGACCGACGCCCCCTGGCGGCCTCTTCCGCCAACGAGGAGCTCGGCACTTGGAGGGGCCCCGCCTGAGGGTCGTCAGCCCGGAAAGGAAGCTCTTGTCACACGGCTGCTCCCTTTTCATTTCCGGAGCGGAGTTTCTGAAGCCCCAGCTGGTGAACAGCTCCGTTCTCCTCTCTCCGTCCCTGACGTCAGGCTCCTCCTCGGAGACCTTTTCCTTCCTCTTCTGCCGGTTCACGAGCCCGTCCTCCTCAGCCGGTGCGGCCACCTGCGGACCCAGGGGCCACTGTGGCGTCCCCATGGCCTCGCACTCTGTTCACGTCTTGTCTCCCTCCTAACGCAGTGCCTGTGTTGTGTGTGTGTGTGTGTGTGTGTGTCCAGCAGGTAAAGGCGCAGCCGTGGCCAAGTCAGGGACCTCGGGATCAAAGGTCGGAAGCAAGATCCCTACCCCGAAGGGACTGAACAAAAGTTCCGGGAGGACGTACACAAAGCGGTGACATGATGCGCGTCTCCTCTGTCCCCGCGAGGAGCGGAGCAAGTTTCCTGACTGTGAACCATTTCTCCTAAAATCCGCCCTTGGATATGGTGACCGTCCCCCACCCCCACTGACCCTCGGCTCTCGGCCGTGCTGGTCCTGACCTGTTGCACCGGCCGTGGGGCCGACGGAGAACCTGCGTCCCAGGGTCAGGTCTGGACCCGCCCCGGCTTCGAGCAGCCAGGCTTCTGCCCTCCCAGCCCAGCACGCACAGGAGAGCACCCGTCTGCCGGAGGGTGCCGACGTGATGCCCGCGCAGGCCAGTCCCTCTTCCCAGGTGCTTGCAGTGATTCCCATAAAGACTTCACTGGAAACCTCGGGCCTGTTCATCTCTCTCACACGTGGCCGAATTCCCACCGGGCCGTGGCCCCCCAGCAGCGGTAACCATGAGTGTCACCGGGTACCTTACCCCTGCCCGGTGCACTCTGCCTGCCCCTGCCCGGTGCACCTGCTCACCCATGTCTGTAGAGCCCGTGCTCCCCGCTGTCATAGGTCACTGGGCATGGGTCCCCCGGTGCCCCTCGCCCAGAGGCCCATGAGGAGTGCACGGTCCGTAGCTGTCACCACCCTCCCGCGGCAGTCCTCCCCCCCGCCGTAACCCCCCAGCAGCTGTCCCCCCGCGGCAGTCCCCCCACCCGCAGCAGTCGCCCCCCACGGCAGTCCCCCTACCCGCGGCAGTGCCCTGGGGAAGCTGAGGTGGGCACTGTGAGGCTCTGAGGCAGGGCCGCGCTGGGGGTGCTCACATCCCTTACGTGTGTGCCGCCCTCAGCAGAACTACAAGGTGACTGTCACCTGTCCTGTGCTCGCCTGCCCACAGCGTCGGCCGGAGCGCCCCGCTCTTGAACCCCAGAGGCAGACGTGGCACCGCTCTTGACTCTGGCGTGGGGCATCTGCTCCTTCGCGCATGTCACTGGTCAGCCCCTGCGGACCCAGAGCGTCTGCCTCGGGCCTGCCCCTCGCTCGTCTGCGTTGGAATTGGGGCTCCACGTTCATTTGCTCGGCTCGTCCCATGATACTTCACGCACCAGACGTCATTTCAAACGAAGACACCAGACCTCGAAGTCCAGCCCCCTCCCAGCTCCCCACCCGCCATCAGGCAGGGGAGCGGTTCCCCATGCTTCCCATGCAGGTGGCCGGGCTGACAGGCCGGTGTGGGTCTGCAGGGAGGGTCCCCGCGTCTCCCCGCGGCCAAGTCTCCCGGGGACCCGAGGTGGCTGGCCCTTCCTGTCCCACCGTGCAGCCGGGACATGCTCCCCCTCCTCCTTAGCGCCCGGCAGGCTTTCCCAACTGAGACCCGGGGTGACGGACGAAGTGTGGGCTGGGTGATTAGTGTGTAAATAAATACTGAGTTTCCGGCCATGTGAAACCACAAAGTGTGTCTTAGAAAACCCCTAACCCCGTCAGAGCAGTGCGCTCCTGAGTACGTCCGTGATCGTGAATTTGCACGACTCTCTCTCCATCCTGGGAAGGCTAATACCTTCTTGTACGCAGCATGAGTGAGACCGAGAGAATTACCAAAACCAGTGACCCAACCAAACCACGAAAGCGCACGGGGAGAAAGGACGCAAACCTTCAGTGGGCAGAGCAGAGCGCGGATGCCGGCAGGTGACACTCAGGCCTTTCTGGCCCCGGGGACAGCGGCTTGACCTGCGGCCCGTCCCCCACACGCGGACCAGCCGCTTCCATAACCAGAGCCGAGGTCACGCGAGCTGGTGAAGGAACCATTCCTTCCTCTCCAACACTTCCAAATACAGATGTCTTATTTTCTATATATTGTAACTTGAAAAAGCATTTGTAAAGATCTTTAACTTTAGTGATCGGCAAACCAAATCGGGTGCATTTCAGACCAGTTAGCGCCAGCGGTTACAGAAGAATCGAGGCGATACTGAAATGACCCCTGGCAGGTTCTCGTGGCCGCTGAAAGCCTTACAGAGTTACGGACTTCTAAAGAACCACAAATAAAAGACAAAAAACTTAAAAGGAACCGTAAGATCCCTTGGCCATGTATAAATAAATCTGTAAGTTTGGAATAGGAATTGATGATTGACTTTTCACTCCTGAATATGTTGTGCATATTTAACTATTTATTTCTATTATTTTCATATTTCAGGACATTTTATCGAGCTAATTTAAAAGAAAAGTCTATAACTTTGGCATCAGAATACACATGTAAATACTTTTAATGAAAATTTGCAACTTTTTAATGTTTTAACATAGTTTTCTATTTGTCCTTATTTCAGGTACCAGAGTTATAATATCTAATATATTTTTGTTGTTATTTTAGGGCCTAGGGGTCCCCTCATCCTGAGCATATGAACATAATAAAAAGGTCACTCAATGTTCTGTCACTTTTATTTCAAGTTTTCCATTAAAAGGCAAACGGAGTGTCTTCCACTCTGGTGCGCAGGCCAGAGGCGCGGCTGGGGGAGGCATGGGAGGGGCAGGGAGTCCGCTGCAGGGACGGGGACAGAGCTGGCCCCACGCTGCAGGGGGTGTGGACACGAGCTTCCTGCTGAACAAGGTGAAGGACAGTCAGCTCCCTGTGGCTTGGAGGACGCGGTCGCCCAGCTGTGCCTGCAGGTGGAGTCGGAGTGTCCCTCTGACCGTCTTGCTGTGCCCGCAGCGCATCCGCACGCCTGCGCCCCTTGTCCAGAGGGACTTACTTACCGGCCAACACGGAGATCTTGCTTTCAAATGAGTAAAAAGGAAGTATTTTCTCTGTTCATTTGTGGAGTGACTTAAAGCTTTTATCAATTTGGGGAATCATAAAATTGCCTCCGTTTTGAAGTTACAATGTGCAGGTTTTCCCTTCCATGAATACTGTTAACGTAAAGCTGACGGCACTGTGTTTCCTCCTGGTTTGGGGACCAGGGCCCTGCGTGGGGGAAGGGCCAGGCGTGTGAGCCGCGGGGTAGGCACGGAAGAGCGCACATTCCCGAGAAGCGCTCCACTCACCCCTGCAGGGGTGCTGGAGAAGGAGGAGCCCCTCCCTCCGTGGGCTGCTGGAACTGGGTGTGCTTTTGTGCTGTTGCGTATTTGCTCTTAAAAACCAGGTCGGTTCTCTAGAAAGCTGAGCGTGGGGTACCCAGCAGCCTTCCTGGCTCTCGCCGCTCTGGGGGGCTTCCATGCCCCCTCCCCAGCCGCTGGGCCGTGAGCTGAGCCCCCTGCATCTGGGATGCAGTTGGAGTGACCCTCAAACTGTTCCTGCAGGGGCAGGGGGCCCCCCTTGGGGTCTTCTGGAATCCTTGCAAGGACCAGTGAGGTTATCGTCAGTGGCAGGCAGGGACACCGGCCCCCTGGAAGGCAGCGGGCCCAGATGAGAACTCTGGATCCTGATAGACCCGGGAGGCCTGTGGACAACAGCTCATAGTCCCTGCCTCAGTTTCCCCTTAAGGAGTGGAGCCAAGGAGAAGGTGCTGATGAGGTCCAGCCCGGCCAGTGGGTTTGCAAGTTTGGGGAGGGAGCCGGCCCCTAAGCTAAGGGGTGCCCCCGAGCCCTTCATCCCACATTAGCCTGTGCCTGCAGGGGGTAGGAAGTGGAGACACAGAGGCATGGACCACCACCGGCCAGAAGGCCTCAGAACTCCACCCAGCTTCCCAGGCCCAGGCCCACCCACCCAAGCCTGCAAGTGCTGGGATTGCAGGGGAGGGGCAGGGAGAGTGGGGAGGGCCGAGGTCAGATGCCCCATGGAGTGAATTTCCTTGTGCACAGAAGGAGCTCACCCCCGAGCAACAAGCAACACTCTTTTCTGGCTCAGGTCCTGCAGGTTGCCGGCTCCCCAGGAGAGGTGTCCCTGGCTCCTCTCAGTGTCTTGGGACCAGTCCAGAGAGGGAGGGGTGGTGTCCTGCCTGGAGGTGGGGGACATCATGGGAACCAGTGCCAGGGTTCTGGATAAAAACCTTTCTCTCCCCTTGGAGTAGGCCTGTTTCCGAAATTCCAGGATCCTAGACTGGGTGGGGGGGGGGGGTTCCCCAGCAGTTGCGGGAGGCTGGAGGGCGAGCCTGAAGGGGTCCAAGCCTCATTCTGGGCAGGGCCAGGCCAGGAGCAGGGTCAGGAGCAGAAAAAAAATCACGACCTGTCTTCTTCCTACTGGAAGTTTTAGAAGTTTGCTTTTTCACACTGCCATCGGCCACCGACCTGGAGCGGTCTTGTATTTTCTGTTCCTGAATGAGGTGGAGATTTGTGAAACCAGACGCAAACACAAGAGCTAGACAATCGATCATTCGACTCTGTTACAATCATGACGTCTCAAGATGCCTTTACAGAAACAGAAAACCAGGAGAACACATTTATTCACAACATGCAACCCAGAAAGAGCTGGTGCCCAAAAGACATAGAACCTCCTACACATCATTAGGAAAGGCCGAGGGGGCTCCGGCCTGGCTTTGCGAGTGCAAATAGGGAACCAGTTCCAGAACACAGCACGCAGGGCTCTGTTGCCGCTTCGACAAGTTATTGTGAGTGCCGGGACTCACGGCAACCAGGACTAAGACCAGGGCTCAGCTGGGTGCGGGGGTCCCGGGGGAATCCGGTCCTGGGGGAATCCAGTCCTCGCAATCCCAGCTTCCAGTGGCCCCCACTTTCCCGAGCTCAGGGCCTCTCCCTCCCTATTCAAGGACAGCCCCACGCCCCACACGGACATCCCTCTGGTCCTTGGTCTCCACCTTCCTCTTCTACTGGTAAGGATCCTGTGAGTTCACTGGATCCACAAGACGATCTCCCCATCACAAGGTCCCTCTGAGACTTCAAGTTCCCTGTGCCCTAAAACCTACCACATTCACAGGTTCTGGGGATTAGGTTGTGGACCTCTCCGGGGGCCGTCATTCCGCCCAACACACCTGTAAGAACGCCATCCGTCTAACATCTATATCGCTTTTCTTTTTTAGTATTTTGGGTTCCTAATAATATTTTTTTTGAGTTGTGGACAAAACCTGTTATTAGTGTCTTATTTATAGGCCTTATCAGTGCTCCTGGTAGTATCATTAAAAGACCATTTTACCTACCTTAGAAAATGCCAATCTCTTCAGCTGCAGTCATTTCCTGCCTATGGCTGCTACGGTATGCATCTCGCTCAGCAGGGTTTGCCGACCAGGTTGTCCTCTGCTTTTTGCCACAATTCCAAGCTGCCCGACGAATTCCCCTTTCATAAGAAAAAAGCCTATTCAGAGAACTAAGTTCAAATGGTCAAGATTCAGTTGTTTTATCAAATGCACCAGCGTTGAGAGATTTGCCAGCTATCTAAAGCCAAAAATCGGATGGTTATCACCCAAATACTATTAATTTACCAATTACTACCTATTATCAAATCACCGCAGTAATCTTTAAGGAGATTTTCTCATACTGTTCATTACTTCCAATTATCATTCAATATTCCGTTTCTGGAATGACACTTAGAAAAACCTCCAAAACCCTTCAAACTAAAAACAAAGCTTATCCTACGCTCCAGTCCGAACTATCTAATTGAGTATCTGCCCATCACATTTCTTCAAACTGGGCTTAATCTCCAGTGCGTAATGTTCCCTCTTCACCCAAACTTGCTCTTTAAAGATGAAAATTCCTATTTCAAGTGGATTTCTAGTTCTTAAGTGACCGTAGAAAACTTCTAGACTTTCTTCTAAAATCTAGAGAAAAATGAACTCTGCCATTAAGAATGTTACCGAATGCCTCATGTTTTAGGTACTTTAAACTACTTTACAATATTTATAAATGGGACATTAAGAATTCCAGTAAGTGAGAAATTAAAATGTGACAAGGTAGCAACAGATTTACTCCCTAGTGATAGAAAATAAGTTTTATATGCAACACACTAACTTTGGTATTATAGAATTTCTTAAAGATTTTATTTATTTATTTGACAGAGACACAGGGAGAGCAGGGAACACAAGCAGGGGGAGTGGGAGAGGGAGAAGCACTGAGCCCACCAGGCGCCGTACATCAGTTTTCAAAAAGGCCCTCAGCACCTGGAAGATATGCAGAGAAAGCTTAACAAAGACGAGTGATGGCAATACCAGGAAAAAAAGAACAATACTAGCATTATCAGTATTTATTTCATATAAAAACAGTATTTGCACTAAATATGGTTCACAATTCATATGATACAAATACCAAGGCAACCTAACAGCCAATGCATTTAGAGTAACATATAAACAAATCACAAAACATGGAATGAACCATAAATTCATAAAGGTAAAGACTGAGTGCAATTAATCATTCAATAGATAAGTTGATAAAACTTACAAAAATATTTTTTAAATACACTAAATATGCAAGTGGGAAAATGCGGTTAGTATACCCATTCTCAAATGAAACCGTATTTTCTTTTCAGTACATGTGTGGGGTTCTCAGAAAGTGTACTGTAAGCCCCAAGGGACGAGTGTGGAGCCGCTGAAAACGTCAGCACTGTTCCCGGTCCCGGGCTGTTGAGCGCAACGGCCCCGAAGCAACTGGACCCCAAGATCCCCAGGGGCAGAGGTGATGAGGAGCCCTGAACGCCTGTAACCCGTGGGCCCCCTTCCTGCGCCTGAGAGTGACCAGCACAAACGTCCTGCTCCTCCGTTATCCCGGGACGGACACCCCACGTGCCCACATGTAGGGGAAAACACAAGCACACTTTATGGCTTCAGGACCCGTGCCCCCCCCCCCCCGCCCCGTACTCCTCTGCCATGCCCGGAGGCATCCGTCCTTGCTTTTCTGATAAAAATCAAAAGCTCCGTGCGGAATCCAGTCCCCGTCTCTCCCGGAGGCAGCCCGGCGCCACGCTCAGATCCTTGTCTGAGAACTTTGTTTCAGTGCGTGACGATCTAGGGGCTGCTGAAGTGAGGACGACTTCCTCTTTTTTTAATTATTATTTTTTTAAGAGAGCGGGAGACTGTGGGAGCAGGGAGGGCCAGAGGAAGAGAGAACTGCAAGCGGACTCCGCACCCGGTGGTCGTGAGATCATGATGACCGGAGCCAAAAGAAGAGTCAGAAACGTAACCATCAGGCTAAGCTTCCCAGGCGCCCCTGGACTGCTCAGGGTCGGACCGCGTTAGGGGGGTCCATCACTGCTCAGGGTCAGACTTGGGGGGGCATCACTGCTCAGGGTCAGACCTGGGGGGGG